AAGATCTTTTACCTACTCAACTTTCATATGCCAAGTAAACTACCATCATTTGATATGGTATATCAATACTAAACCCAAAGCAAATTAGGTCTTGGATGGAGAGCGTTGTAAGTGAATTTGAGGGAAATGAAATAGAGATCATGGCGTTTTCAAAGAAAAAAGGAGGAAATTGATAGGAGAGGGAGCGCAGGCTTCACTCCAAAAACATGGTCGCCTACTCCTTTATTTTTTATTTTATTTTGGATTTTATCAGTATCAAGTTACATAATCTAAGAAAACTTTCCTACACACACAATTAAAAGGTGGGGTTCACATGTTTTTTTTTTTTTTCTCTTTCATCATTTCACTTTCTCTCTCTTTCTTTATTGTGAGGATAGGAAAATTTTCTTATATCATGTTACATTATTCTCATAAAAACCCTTTTATTTTTATAGTCTTAGATTATGCGGCGGAAATAAACTAATGACAGTAAGATTATTAGCTTCAACTCAGTCAATTAACTGGTAACGCTTAAAAATAATTATTTACAAATAAGTCCCTAAAAAATTTTCATTTTAGTTGAGAGAAAAAATTGACCATTATAATTATGAAAGACAAACTCGATTGAAAATCAGTCTAAGCAAACTATTGTTTGTGGAAATTGGGCTACCGGTACGCGCTCGATATAATATAAAATTATTTCAATTTAAAAATTAAATATTCTATTTTATTATTTAAAAAATGATTTTATATTTTTGGCCAGAGATATGAGTTTGAATACAGTTGAATGAAAACATTTTTTTAGAAAAACTTCACATCGTAATTTACTGACATTAGTTAACCACAGTTATCAGAAACATCTACGTCACGATCAATCGCTCAAACAAAGTTTTACTGAAATTTGATTTCCGTAATGAAGGGGTTCTATGGATTTGGTCATGATTTCATAAAGAACTACTACAACGAAAATTTAGTAAAAGTAAATATTCTTTTGTTTCTTTAACAAAAAATATTATTACTATTTTAGTTCTTTATAAAAAAAAAAGTAATTGTCTGATTCTTACGAAGTTCAAAATGAATTCATTTTTAGTTTTTTTGAAGGATTAATGTCACTATTTTTTGAATTTGTGAGGAATCATAATTTCAACTAAATAGATCCATTTTGAATTTCCTAAAGACTTTGAGACTTTTTTTTTTAAGAGATTAAAATAAAAATTGAGTCTTTTTATTAGAGATCCAAAAATATATTTACTCTTTAATAAAATATAAAACTGAAACTAAATAGTAAATACAGCATGACTAATTACTACAGTAATTTTGTTTAATAAAGAGGGAGAGTGACCATTTTGCCACGTTTGGACAAAAAAATTACCAGACTGCCACGCCAACAATAAATTTTGTCAAAATACCACGCGGCATAATTCGCTACACAGTGTAGCGAATTATGTATGCAAGTAATTCGCTACACAGTGTAGCAAAATATGCCGCGTCAGAACCAAAAATGTCACATGTCAAATTTTGAGAAATTCGCTACCTTATGTAGCGAATTTTGCAAAATGTGACATGTGGCATTTTTGGTTCTGTGCGTTCTGACGTGGCATATTTCGCTACACTGTGTAGCGAATTACTTGCATACATAATTCACTACACTGTGTAGCGAATTATGTATGCAAGTAATTCGCTATACAGTGTAGCGAAATATGCCACGTCAGAACCAAAAATGCCACATGTCAAATTTTGAGAAATTCGCTACCCTATGTAGCGAATTTTGCAAAATGTGACATGTGGCATTTTTGGTTCTGTGCGTTCTGACGTTGCATATTTTGCTACACTGTGTAGCGAATTACTTGAATACATAATTCGCTACACTGTGTAGCGAATTATGTCACGTGGCATTTTTGCAAAATTTATTATTAGCGTGACAGTCTGATAAATTTTTTGTCCATACATGATACTTTGGTCACTGTTACTAATAAAGACTACCAACACACAATCTCTCAATTTTCCTTTAATAAGGTACACCATAGAACGACTCCAAATATCGATGTGGACGGTGGACCTCTCCAACTCCAAGTCAAACATACGCGTAAGTTTGCACCCTCCTGCCGCCACCAGCCCTCCTCTTGTTTTACCCAATCCTTTATGCCTTCATTTTTTTTATTAATATTTTAAAAGTACCGATTAAAAATATTATATTTAAATGTTTTTGAAACAATAATAAACACTTTTAAATTCTTAGTATATTAAATAATTGGGATAGGATATTATGACACCCAAGTTATGTTACACCCATGTGACACCTAGTCAATCTCACCGTTAGATCGTTTATATTGATCCAACGGTTATATATATTTCCATCTTTGTATGGTCATGATTTCCCAAATTTAATATTTTATATTTATTTCTACCTTTGTATCGTTATGATTTCCCATATTTAATGCTTTCACTTTAAATTTGGGAAATCATGACCATACAAAGATGGAAATAAATATAACCGTTGGATCAACATAAGCGATCTAACGGTGAGATTGACTGGGTGTCACATGAGTGTAACATAACTTGGGTGTCACAATATCCATAATTTGCACACATCAAATCCAAATACGTTTTCTTGTTTGATAATATAATTTTTTTTCTTGACTTATTATTATTTATTTTTCGAAAATATTCCAATCAATTTATTGCTTCGCAATTAATCCGATTCGGAGCGAGTTCAGAATTAAGGTCCCAAAAGTAATACTGAAAAAATTCAAACACATACTCTCACTTTTATTTAATTTAACTGGTTCAATACATAATGTTGATCCGCCCTGGTGAGTTGGCCATATCAAACGCAAGCAAATGCAGTTACCAATAACTACGTTTAATGTGTAGGCACAAAATCAAAATGCCTAGTTTTGGAAAAAAGATATCCTAATACGTTATACTTTACTATTTTTTTATTATCTGCCAAGTGATCCCTATGATGCAGGTAGCGAGTTTTTTTGCGCCTGCCACATGTCTTAAACAGTCCTATTCCTGTGCCATTTGGTCTCGCTAGTTGAGCCAACAGAACTTACATGGGAGGAAAAATAACTTTCCTAGTATAACATGACATATATTGGGCACTTTGATATTTGTCCCTTAAAGATGTACTTGTAGTACATCACATGATAATCAGATAATCCGCGCTATTGAGTAGTTAATGTAAATATTTTTATTGTTCTTGATATATTTACCATCCTTAAAATTGGGTAGTGGGGTATATGACTACTAATGGAGTGCAATCGACAGAAACTGCAATTATATATATTGCTTTATATCTGTCTCTCATTGGATAGAAAATACAAAATTAAGATAGATAAGGAATATTTTCCTTATTTTTCACATGGCAAAAACCTGTAACAAGCTAATACACATCTATGATGGTATCTGTAATGCATATTTAAGATTTTATTTTGATTGAGAAAGGTCAAATAATGAGAGATCGATCCACTTGATACATTCATGCATTTCTTTTGGAAAAGACACCATCTGACCCAATCAACGCGTCCAAAACCATAGCACGATGTGAAACAGAACCGATTTCTAATTTGCTTATTTCTCCTTTTACTTTAAAACCTTAGTTTGCCTTGTACTATTGTATTGGCCCAAATGATGTGTTTTTTAGGCCGCAAAATGTTGCAAAATTACAATTTTATTAGAATGATGTGACCTAAGGTGGCCCAACTACAGAAACTATTTCCAAATAAATCAATTTCAATATTTATTTATTTTTTTAATCTCATGAACCCCAATCATTAGAGGGGTGTTTCCTAGTTCAATTATCATGTTTGATACGCCCTAAATATTTTTTTTTTTGTTTGAGGGCATTTGATTCCGAGGCCTGCCTCCATGGTACTTTTTGTTTTTTTATCGATTCTGTGCCCTTACCCTTGTGAAACTACTTTTTTTTTTCCTTCTTTTCTAAAAGCAGTTCCACAAACACCACCTCCAAAACTCTTTTGTATTTTTTTTTCTAATCCAATTATCGTCCTTGAATTGGAATGTTAAATCCTTGCTACAAAACATATCATTCCAGTTGATTTCATTTCTATTAAGCAGGTGTACATGCTCATTGTTCAGGTTGTCATTTGACTTATACTTTAGTATTTGGACATAACAATTGTGCTTCACGACAGAGCTACTGACCACTAAATTTTCTTGCAATTATCATGAGGAAGAAGATTCTTTCATACCAAAACCCTTCTCTAAAAAATCAAATGTTGTCTAAAATACAAAAGAATTCCACGGGATGATGTCCAGAAAATTACATTTAGGATAAAAAAAATTAAGAGTTCCGCATAAATTGATAAAAAAAAAAATGAAATTCAAACTAATTCCACAGGTATTATTTGCAGAACCCCCAACCGATTAAGTAATCGATTATACATTTGACCCAGTATAAAACAAATAAATTGAGTTCAACTGATGTTAAACTGACATCATTTAAAAAAAAAAAAAAAAAACTTATTTTGTGAAATTTAGATAAAATACTTAAAAAATACCAACAATGAGATTTGAATCTAGAATATATTAATAACTTACAATACTTATTACTAAACCAATTTTATTCATTAGCTGACTCAATATCCCCTACTAAATCAATGATCGATTTGGTTATGCCCGAATGTACGGTGTTTCCCCAAACCTCACAACGAAACATACAATGATGAGAATTATTCTGATTAAGTCAACTATACGATCACACAAGATATATATGTACATAGAAAAAAGGTTATATTTACAAACTTTTTGTTTATAAACTCTTACAAAATACACTATGTCTGACCGGTTATACTTCAATCAAAAGTGTTCAATCAAAAATATATAACCAATCAGACTTAGTGTAATTTATAAAAAAATTTATAAACGGATCATTTCCTAATATTATATATTGCACTCTTTTTGTTTTCTGCACAGCGTATTTCATTTTTATTTCTCATTACATTATACACGTCATCCATTTCCAATCCGAAAAGAGAAAGAAGAATGATCATAAAATCACTTTTCATACATTGATATATGCGGACTGCATAAAATGCTTCCTTTTCTAATTTTGATTACTGTCACATAACATTTGAAGCTACCTTTTGGGAGTAGTCCAACAACTACTACCAGCACCGTCCTAACCTCCTAAGTCCTAACCCACCCAATACAATAACTTACAAGAACAGATAAGAGACAAGAAGGAAAAATAATATTAAAAAAAATGACAACAAAATGATTTCATGATAAAAGTCATAAATGTAAAAAATAAATAAAAAAGAAAAAGAAAATCGAGCAATTGTCACTTCACCGGTAGCTTCTGTAGGCTGGGGTATACATACAGCTCTCAGCAAACTTCACCAAATCTTTGGGTTGAGGAAGACGAGTAGCCAAGCCTGAGAAAAACCAAAACTCAATTTTATTATAATTCTGACTCTATTTTTTTAAAATAAAATATTTAAAAGAAAAAAATATTCAAGATATGCAATTGTAAAAGGTGCACATAGTAAAGGAAAACTAAAAGCTGACCAAGCTCATAAGCCTTAGCAGCAACATTGGCAGCTATGTGTGCTGAAATCTTTCTAATGTCAGTAAATGGTGGAAATATGAGTCCCTTGTCAAAATTCTCCTGGGTCACTTGAGCAGCCAAAGCCTCCGCTGTTCCATGAAATCACATGGTATTGTAATATAAATCAGTAGCATGTCAATGACTACGACAACACTTTATTACCAAGTTTATTTTTATTAAATGTATAAATTCCAAAGTATAACAACTGTCCACTCACTGCCAAATTCACCGAATTCAACTTCAATTGAATATAAATATAGAGTTCCAAATATTTTAAGTAAAATTTAGGAAACAAGGAAATGCACTCCCAACAGTTGAAAATGAATATTCACTTCAATTCCCATGCTAGTTTAGAACTTTCTTCAAATTATAAAAGAAACCTATGGGGGAAAGAGTCAATTGCATTATGAAAAAGAGCAACACATAAATACATTGGAGCATTTTTTTTTTCATATCTCATTACTCCCAATTTTTCACCTGTCCCAAATATAACATTGGAATAAATGTTCAAGTCTCTTGTGCACTTACAGGCAGCCAGAAGCAGGTCGTCATGCACTCGAATGGTCCCAGACATTATTAAACCAAGACCGAATCCAGGAAATATGTATGCATTATTGGACTGATGAACAAAGAAACAAAAATCCAAATTAGACCTTATTTTAAATGTGAAAATTTCAATGTTTATATAAATTCTCAGGAGCTTAGACCTGGCCAGGCACAAACACTTTCCCCTCATATTCAACTGGAGGAAATGGGCTCCCACTTGCAAAAATGGCACGTCCCTGATGATATTGCACATGGATAAAGTGAAGAAAATAAAATAAAATATTCATAATTGATCGATTCCAAACACCTAAATAAATCAATATAAATAATTATGGTAGCAATATAATATAAGGAAAGCTTAAATTCTAAAGCAAAAATACAAGCTGCTTCCTATTACCTGGCTCCACTTATAAGCTTCTTCAGCAGTACATTCTGACTGTGACGTTGGGTTGGAAAGAGAAAAAATAATAGGTCTCTACAAGCATTATCATAGGAATATGTTGCTTAGCTTATGTGGACAGGAAATTGCATAGTAGGTACAAGCTAGATAAATAGATTGACATAGTACCTCATTAATAGAGGCCATGGCCTCAACCACCTCTTTAGTAAAAGTTCTTCCTTGTCCCGATGTTCCAATCAACACTGTTGGTTTAATTTTCTGAGAAGATAACATTGAAAATGTAAGAAAATTGAAACTTGTTTGTGTGTGTGTGTGTGTGTCTGGGTGTAATGAACAGAAAGATCAATCATACATTAACAGCATCTACGAGTTGTTTAACAGGTTCATGTTCATGAGCCCAGGGCTTCTTAAAATGTTGGAGTGATTCTTTACGGGAACTGACAATCAATCCCTGGAAAAGTAGGAATAAAAAATTAATCAGATGGAAGATGAGAGAATCTATTTCATTCAGGTGGAGCTAAACTGGATTTACACAACCTTTGAGTCCACCAACCAAATGTTCTTGCGCACTTCCTCCAGTGGGGCATTTGTCTGCATCAAAAATGGTAGTTTCTCAATAAATATAAATCATTCATTCAATAGTCGCATCATAAAATTCTCACCACCCTCCACTTAAAAAACCCCAAAAAAAGCAAGTAACAACTCTAAAAGTAGCTAGCAACCTGTTTTGATGTTTCAAGTGCTATGAGTTCTGCTATTCCAGTGCCTGCCTGCAATCACCAGAAAATACAAATAAGCCACAAGACAAATGGATGGAGCAGTTTGTATTCAAAGTTTATTTGAAAAAATCTAGCTTTAATGAGTTCTAATATGAACACTCCCTTCTTGAAGAACCAATGAAGTATGACACATAATCCAAGAATTATATCGACTTACCTCTCCAGCACCAAGGAATAAGAATCTGTGGTCAGCTAATTTTCCCCCAACCAATTTCAGAGCCGCAACTAGTCCAGCAAGGACCACAGATGCTGTACCCTGTAACAATTCAGATACAATACCAGAGCTAGTCGTAAGTATAGTTACCAAAGTACATGATTCATTATTGAAGACAGCAATTTCTTACCTGAATATCATCATTAAAAACCAGATGTGTTGATCTATATTTTTCAAGTAGATCAAAGGCATTGTGGTTTGCAAAGTCTTCAAACTAAATATTTCAGATACAGAAAGCAGGAAAGTTGAAGTCAGTAAGGACTGTAGTCCGATAAGGCAAGAAATGAAGTCTTCTCGCACTGCTTAATACCTGAATTAGGACTTTTTCCCCATAAGTTTGCTTGACTGCAGTCATAAATTCATGCAGAAGTTCAGCATATTCCTGGAATCAGAAGTTGGAGCAAAGTAAATATTATGGAATATTAGAAAATTTGCTGTCTGAAATTAAAAATGATTAATTCCATACGGCCCAGCAAAGAAAACAATTCATGAACCTGTCCAGTTGCTCGTCTTTGCTTTAGCCCAATATATAATTCATCATTCAGCAGCTTCTCATTGTTGGTACCCACATCAATGGTAATAGGCAAGCACTGAAACAATTTTAAAAGATAACAATATAGATGTAATTAGAAATGGAAGTTACATTATGCACAACCAATATTTAAAAAAAAATTAACAAATAAGAGACATTTCTAAATAAACTTCCAAGACATTCACCTCAACTAGAAACCACAACACTATTTCAACAGTATATAAAACCCAACTGGCTGTGAGTATTTTTACTTTTCTTCATAAATGATCAAAGCAATCAACAAAGTGTAATGACTAATACCCCCAAAAGTTCGCGATCTAGTCTAAATTTTTTTATTTCCTTTTCCTTTTGTTTTCCAGGGGGTCAAGGCCACAAGGAATCAAAACATGCACCCAAGATCAAAATTAAATGAAGAAATGTCTTGAAGTCTATTCTCTTTTGTTTTTTCTTTCATTATTTATCTAATTTCTGGAGTGGGAGCTACGCGTGAGGAAGTGTTGGGGGTTAAAATCTGCACATCAAATTTCAGTAGCATCTTGAAACAAAGTAGAAGATCGTTGCAAGTTTATGATACGCATAGTTTTATTGGTTAGCAATGTGGGAGAAAAATACTTACAGCTGAAGGACGAACTCCTCCGAGTGCTGTATATAAAGAAAGCTTTCCTACTGGTATTCCCATACCCTGAGAATACAGCATACATTACCAAAGTAGATATTATAACATCAGATCTTGTGATTCAATATAACTATCACAAATTATAAATGCCAACAAGTATAATAGAAATTACCTGACAACCAAGATCCCCAAGACCCAGGATCCGTTCTCCATCAGTTACAACTATGACTTGAATGTTCTTCTCAGGCCAATTCCTAAGCACTTCAAGGATCTTCCCCCTTTAAGTTTAAACCCCAAATAGACAAAGGAACAATAAAATCAACACAAATAATAGAGAAAACATTCAATTAAAAGTGAACACCTAGAAAGAATTCCGAGGGGATAAAAGAGCAGTCAAAGTCAAACTTACTTCTCTTTCAAACTTATATAAAGACCCTGAGGACGCATAAAGATGCTCCCATATTTCTGGCAAGCTTCACCTACAGTTGGAGTATAGACAACTGGGAGTAACTCTTCAACGTGATCAATAAGAAGTTTGTAAAACAGCCGTTCATTTCTCTCCTGCAATGCATAATATATTACAGTGAAAGCATTAGAATCCAATTATAAAATTTGCAAATCAAACCATGCGAAGAAACTTCCACCAAGATATGATTTTGCATTAAAGATGAATTTCAAAGTTATAAATAAAATCATGAGCAAAAAGCAAAGACAACAAGAATTTTGGCACTGTTCAAAAAGTTATTGTATAAGTGTGCAGACAACAACAGATGGGGGAACATAAAATCCTTCAGAGATTGCTGCAAAAAAGTTTAGTTCTGTCATCATCCACATGCAATTTTGTCACATTGCAAAGTTCCATTCTACAGTTAAATAAAATTTAGTTTTGTACAATTAGTAAATCAAGTTAAAAAAGAAACAAAAGACCAAAACTGTATTCTTTAATAATTTTATAAAAAAGAATTGTCCACAAGACAACACCTGAAGATCCATCATTGCCATGTACTTCTGCAATGGAACTTGATACTGACGTATGTGCTGGATCATTTTCTTCACCTGTCCAGTAAAGTGGCAGTAACTTTAAATCGATGATATGTGAGCACATGCACAACCTATATTGCCTTTCAAAATTTATAAAAATAAAGTGTTCAGAATATCTTCCAGTCGGATAGTTAACCTGAGTTTCCTGAGGAATAACTGTTGGGGGAAGAAGACCACGCAAGTAGTGGGCATCCCTCTCTTTTTCAGTGAACGCCAGCCCTTTGTTGAAGTGGGGATCTCGCAACAATGTATAACCACTAAAGAGAAAGAAGCAGCTAAAATGTAAGAATATGCATAATGGCTCAATCCTTATTTCTGGCTTTAGTACAGAAAGTAGCCCATTAAATATATTACTTTCTCCATTCAGAAATTAGAATTAGACTAAGCCATTAAATACATCACATAGTAACAAGCCAAATCATATGTGATTCAAACTGTCAAAAAATAAACAGAATTAGTTTATAATTATCTGCATGATACACAAAGATGCATATATCATACAAATTAACTAGCATTACAAGGATATAAAGCTAAAATAGAAACACAGTGTTTGAAGGCATAAATTAAGTTAACGAGCGTATTTAAGAACTCCCTTTGTGCAAAAAGAAAAAAGAAAAAGAAAATATTTTTGCCTCATTCATAACACCAAAACTTGTTCAATTAATTTTCGAGTACCCCAATTCAGAGAGTGTCAGAAAAAAGCATCCAATTTGAATCTAAACTCAAGGACAGCTGAGCTGGTAAGGTTAGAAGATCATGAGTCTCACCTGGAAACAGAGACACTCCATGGAGTAACAAAATGATCCTCCGTGGCTCTATCCTCGCCGTACACATCCTGAGGGCCGCCGGCGGAGATCGGGTTATCGTCCACGTCAGCCACCGTGGAATCGTTTTTCATTTCTTTCAACGGCGTCTCCATCACAACGCTGCCGTTTCTGTCACCCGACTTGCTGCTGCTTGGGGCCAAACATACCACCCTGAAAGGAGCTAAACGCTTTCTCTGCAAACCAGAGAAACCGCTAGACCCACCTAACCCTGAGTTGCTCTGTGTAAAAAGTTCACAAAAGTAAGCAAAACAATACAAAATATCAATACCCAGATAAACAAATCAGCTAATCTCATCAGAATCAGAAGAAAAATCATTTTTTTTTAACAACTAACCCAAAAAAAATGGTGAATTTTTACCGACTCTATATTCTTGTCATACCAAATTCTGAACAAAAGAGAATGAGACAAAGCCTTTTTTGTTTTCTGATTTACAAGCAGGAAATGGAAGAACAATAAAATAAAATAAAATGGGATGTGAGAGTTAGAATTCGTTTTATGCAAATCTGGGTGTGCTGATTTGGATTAAAAACATTACTATGAGTTCGTATTACCAGGAAGGTGCATCTGCTTGAGGAGATCATGATGGTGAAAGAAATGCGAGAATTGCTGTATATCACAGGGAGAGAGAAAGAAATGAAGTGAGAAACAAATTATAAGAAGAGAGAAAAAGAGAGAGAGAAAGAGAGAGAATCTTCAGATGAAGCTACTTTTGCTTCTGTTTTTTTCCTCAGTTCTCTTCTCTGTCTCTCTGTCCTCTCTCTCCCTCTTTACCCGAGTTTGTGTTTGTGACATGAACGAAACTCAATTCCTCTGCTAACCTTAAAAAGGATGCAAGTGCATGAACTCAATTTCTGATGATATTACCAGAGTACCCTGGACTTGTTCAAAAAGTATTTCACTTGTTTTTCTTTTAATAAAAAACTTACAAGCAACAGAGTCAAAAATCTGTGGGACGAAAGGTCTGCTTTTATAGAACTGTAGAATTTTTCTTATAGGAATGTATGAGATTGGTATTTCAAAAGATTTTATTGGATTATTTTTGGACCAAAAAATTTTATTGGTATTCAACTAGAATTTTAAAGGATTGAAAAGAAAAAGTCATGTGATATTCTATTAGGATTTTAAAAGATTATTTCAGAGCCAAATCCATTGATATTCAATCAGGATTTTAATGGATTGAAAAAAAAGTTACGTGCTATTCCATTAGGATTTTAGAGTCAGTCCAAATCTGTTAGTATTCAATCAGGATTTTAAATAAAGGAAAAATAATTTTGTAGTATTTAAAAATCTTATGATTTTAATGGACTTTCTATTGGTGTGAATTTCGTGAGACTTTTTAGTGAGAACTATAAATAGGATGTCTCTCTCACAATCTCACCTTAGCCTCTAGGATTTCTTGAGATTTTTCTATCTAGTGTATTCTTCTTTCTTTGGTGGGTCGACCAGCTCGAAACCGAGTTCCACCATAGGAGTTTCGTCAAAGCTCAAAAATAACAGATTTTTGAGCGATTTTCATCACAAAATAACCCAGAAACAACAACCTAACAGTATTTTAATCTAAAATTCATCTCAAAAACAGCAGATTTTGGAGCAATTGTCAGATTAACGAAAATCAATTGTTCAGATGAAGTGTTCTTGGTATGAAAATGTGTAATTTTTGTATTAAAAATAATATAAAACAGTGGGAAAATAACGGGGGAACAAAAATTCCCAAACCAATTTTCATTTTACATCAATGAAACAAGATCCATTTAAAGAAAGATTGAAACTTTCATAATATGAACACTATTTCATAATAATACATTCATGAATGAAATTCCTTTACAGTAAGAAACGATTTCAAACAATTTTTGTGTTAATAGGTCACTAAAAACTTATTTTTCAAAACCTCCAAAGCAATTTAAGATTTCAATGTATCTATTGAAAATAATTTGAGAAATTTTCTAAACTTTCATGTAATAAAACTCAGAAATTCAGATTCAACATTTTCTTGGAATACTCGATGAAAACATACATATGACATATGGTTAGAAAACTCTCGTCACGTAGAACAAAAACTGCAAGGTTTACAAGATCAATTGTAAAAAATTTCAAACGAAAATTTATCATTAATTTTACTAATTGAAAAAATTATATTACGTTTTATTTTTTTTATTAATATCATCGCATTTCTTTGTTCTTTTTTTATTGATTCTTGTAATTTTGAATATTTGTTAAAAATTCTTATGATTTTTTAAAATCTTATAAATTCATGTTGTCCTTTCAAATCTTATAAATTCCATTAAAATCCTTCAAAATTCAATCTTATGAAATTTTGATTGTAAAAAAAAACTTTTAAAAAAGTCTTAAAATTTTTCCAATTTTGAATAATCTTTTAAAATCTATAAAAAAAATTATCTAAAAAAATCTTTTAATAGTCTAATGCAAATGAATAATAGTACAAATTTATGATTTCGATGCTTTGAGGTTAATAATAATAATAGTAATATGGTGTGGCAGCTTCCAACGTTGAGGGCATCATCACATCGACATGTGGCCAATGAAAGAGGGAATTTTTTTTTAATAATATGCGGTACTCCATTTTACTAAAAAAGAAAAAATATCTTTGCATTTTAACCTATGTTTGTTTTCTCTGTTTTTTTTTTATAATTCATTTTAAGTCCTAAAGAATTGGCATGGATGTATCTACGGCAGCCGTAGAATTTCTCACGAAAGAGAGATAAAAGGTTCACTACGTCTACAACTGAACGAGGACTATAATGTTGGAAAGTTCAGTGTAGCGTCATTGTGAAACTTGTTTGGAACCGCAAGATAATTCAATTGTTCGTATTCTTTGTGATTTACATGACAGTGATGTCTTTTTTCGCAATTTTCACGTAATATTCAATCAAAAAAATTCTCAGCTGTCGGTCAGGTGTTTGGGTTTAGACGCCCTTCCGCGTGACAACAAAATAGTGTCTCGTGGCTTATTATTCTCTTGCATCAGAATTTTGTCGTGTTAGGAAAATGCCGTTTACAACTTTTTGAAACACATATTCCCTCTTACTCAGTGTAAATGATAAAACTAAAATATAAACGTATAGATATTAAAGTATATTAATTATAATCAAATGATGAAATTTATGTAAATTAAATATATATGCATGTAACAGTAATTTCTAATGTTATTAGGAAACTCTCATGAATAATTTATATAAAATGCTAAGCTGGAACACAATAGAAATTGAATAGCCTCACAATTTTTTTATTATTTAAAAATGAAATTTGTGTTATTATAACTATTTGACTTTTAAGAATCTTGACAATTGAGCTTCTAAGGATTTGCTTGGGTCAGAAGTTCAAACTTGTCTCAAGCAAATTCTTGAAAAATCTTTAGGGGTCAGAGGACGTGCTGTCCTCGAAGGGAAGATTAGTTTCATCCTTCCTCCTGTAGCGAAAGTTTCATCCTTCCTTCTGTAGCGAAGCTCAATGCTGCTCTTATAATGAGAAGCTAGCCTTCGGGCCGTACTCCGAAGATAAGATGACCGGAAGAGGTTGAATGAGGATACCCTCCAGGTTATACCAAAAAAAAAAAAATCCTGACAAATAGTGTGTTTGGGAATTAAAAAAGTAAAAAAGAAAAGGTTTCTTTATTATTTCTGAGTCACACGTTCATCTTTTGAATCTGGAAAATAAGTCGATTTTATTAAATATAATTATTTTGTTTTTCAAACTAAAAAATTAAAAATGTTGTCGAGCTTTATGTAAAACACATAAAATTTATTTTTTATAATTAATATAAAAGGAATAGGATATTGTGACACCCAAGTTATGTTACACTCTTGTGACACCCAGTCAATCTCACCGTTAGATCGCTTATGTTGATCCAACGGTTATATTTATTTCCATCTTTGTATGGTTATGATTTCTCAAATTTAATATTTTATATTTATTTCTACCTTTGTATGGTTATGATTTCCCATATTTAATGCTTTCACTTTAAATTTGGGAAATCATGACCATACAAAGATGGAAATAAATATAACCGTTGGATCAACATAAGCGATCTAACGGTGAGATTGACTGGGTGTCACATGGGTGTAACATAACTTGGGTGTCACAATATCCTATCCCAATATAAAAAATAAAATTTTGTAAGTTGAGATTCCTTAAGGTTTGTATCTAATGCTTAATAACAATATTGCCCTTGTACTTAATTTTTCTAATTACAATAATTTAACCCTTAAATTTTTTAAATCGAAACTATTAATTAAAATTACTAGAGAATTATTTTGTTGGGATTGAAACAATGCGAGTTACTTTTGCAAATTTTGTAAACAACAAACACAAGATAAAATCAAAATTATATTCAAATGATATACTAGCATGTCAAATATCGAAAAAATATTTGTAAAAAGTCATAAAATGTATATAAGGTTTTTTTAATGTAAAAATTAATTCAATTATTTTTGACTAATTTTGATATTTGAGAACAAAAGAGAAGTGAATATATTCAAAGTTGTATAATGTATATGATTAGGGATGGTAAAAATGAACCGACACAAAATGAATTGGGTTGAGTTGGTAAAAATGAATTGATAACCTAAATTAGTTTTTAAAAAATCGAGTCAACCCACAGGTCAAATAAATCAGCTCACAGGTTATTTTTTTATCTATTATATAAGATTTGTTATATTTACGTGATCATACGTCATCACATATAATCCCTTATATATAGAATCCGTATAAAGGAAATTAGGCTAGTTAGTAATATATGATATATTATAATTGTTAAATATAAATACAATTAATAATTAATAATAACATAGAACTATTTTAGCTTATAGATCGTAGAACTTTTTTGACTGTTGTAAGTTTATATATATATATATATATATATATATATATATATATATATATATATTGTAGAGCATTGACGGGTGTTTCAACTTGCAATGTCCACATTCATTTTGTTCCCCCATTAAGTTGTTTAATAGATGAGATTATATCTCTTTCTTTCCAAGTGGTGAAGTATCTCAATCTAAGAATGATGTAAGGTGCAGTTATATCATAGATGGTATCTCAATGCTCCAAAAAAAATAAAAAAAATAGATGTTATCTCAGACGTAAACAAAGAACAAAGGAGACGTATGGTGACTTTGAGATGGTATTGATATTTCGGAAGAGTAATAGCTCTGAAATCAACGTGTAGAAAATGTCTCTTCAAAGAGCGATACATATATTTGTTATCAAAAAAAAAAAAAAAAAAAAAGAGCGATACATATATCGATATAAGATTCGTAAGAGAATAAGGAAGTGAATTAAATTAGGATTTTAAAAGAATTTTTTGTAATTTTTTTTTTTTATAGATTTTAAAAGACTATTTAAAATTGGAGGAATTTTAAAAAAATTTTTTACAATCACAATTTCATAAGATTAGATTTTAAGGGATTTTAATAGAATTTATAAGATTTGAAAGGACAATATGAATTTCTAAGATTTTAAAAAATCATGTGAATTTTTAAGAAACATTCAAAATTACAAAAGTCAATAAAAAATAACCAAGAAATGCAATGATATTATTAAAAAAAAAGTAAAATCTAATATAATTTTCTTAATCAGTAAAACATAATATAATTTTTAACAAATATTCAAAATTACTAAGCAACAACTCTCCACATATCTAAAGCTATACTGATCCTCCATGCATTAACATTTTCTCTTTCCTGCACTTTGGTTTGACCAATGGATTGAAAATTATCTTCTTCATTTGGTATCAGAGTTATGCATATATAATTATA